CCAAGAACAAGAACAAGAACAAGAACAAGAACAAGAACAAGAACAAGAACAAGAACACAAGAACAAGAACAAGAACAAGAACAAGAACAAGAACAAGAACAAGAACAAGAACCAGAACAAGAACAAGAACAAGAACAAGAACAAGAACAAGAACAAGAACAAGAACAAGAACAAGAACAAGAACAAGAACAAGAACAAGAACAAGAACAAGAACAAGAACAATCCTGAAGTCAATTTTAGTCTAAAATCATTTGCTCTTCATGTGTATAAATCTATTATCAATGACATAAGAGACATACCGGTCAGGAAACATCTTTTTCCAACGGGGACTTGCTCATACACACCAGGTAAGTAAACTATTTGAATGGTTTTAGAATACGTTGCTGGTGGTRAAATTTTGACCAGTGCAATATCGTAAGCTAACCCAAACTCGGCAGCAAAKCGATCATGAGCGACGTATCCAACAATCTTGTGTTCGGTTTCTGTTCCACTTTCCTTATGACGGTCGTGCCCTCCTAAAATTCAATAATTRCGTTAGTCTGGTATATCCTGAAATAGGAATGCCAAAAATAAGTACGTTATTGGATTGGATTAATTGCTGACATGGTACAAAATCCGCAATACTTGATGACAATTAGCAATGCATATATAATAATATAAAAACCATAATCTGAGTTAAACAGTATTGTGCGTCTTAAAGATATAAATGCATATATACAGCTCTTTTAAAAGCTTTTAAAAAAATTGCGTCAATGRCCGTTGTTGGATAAGTTTGGGACATAATATGCCGCACTTCTTTTTGTTTTTGTTTGTCAAGAAACARTTATGTAAAAGATAAGTTCAACACGGTAAAAAAGTAGGTGAAAACAAATTACTTACGTTTCGTACGAAAGATTAACGTCCGAAACGTCAGTAAGTTTCTTTCACCTACTTTTTTACGGTGTTAAATCTATCGTTTTACATAATTGTTTCTTTAGGTGAAATAATATGTACTTRTTGACTGAGTGGGAGGGCCGTACGGGAAAATATTTGACTCGAGGTCCCTCAATGTGCGGCCCTGTCGCGAAAAGGCGTACGGTCCCCATCACGTGACCATTTCCCAAAGGTTTTTTAAGAGCGCGCGTAGGGCCGAAATACGGGTCATTAATATTGGATTGATTTGTTGCATGATATTTTGATTGATTGATCGATTGATTGATTGGTTGACTAATTGATCGGTAAAGTTGAATAACTGTARAACACGTGTTGTCAATGAAGACTCTTTTAACTAAAGCTATCGATAATTTAAGTGTTACTCACCAAGTCGAACTACAAACCGGTGARTTTCAGGTGTYAAAAACCGAAAACAATGTGCAGCCGTGAGGACCAAGTCGWAGTCAATCAACGATCCTCCGCAGACGTGATCACGTGTATCATTAAAAAGTATTTCCGCCATCCATGGCCAAGAGTTTGGTTTGGCTTCTTCTCCCCCTATAACACGCTTAAGCCATGGATTTGCAGATGGGAAAGTACTTCTTCCAGTTGATTCACGCATCGAGCGACTTGCCAGTCCAGAAGGAGGAGCAGCTTTAACAATACAAATATTACTTGAGTATCCGCAGTATGATATTCATATGAAATAATATTTTTAAATTCAAGTATAAATCATTACCTCCTTATATGATACACTCATGCAATACTTGTAACTAGCTACTAAGTATATCTCCTTATGATACAGATGTCTTTCTTTTGTGTGATAGACAATTATGTGATCTATCGCATTAAATTGCGCAATATAGCACTTATATGTCGTTTCTCGTAATCTATCTCATAATTTGCGGCTCGAGTGCAATGTCGTTCATGTTGTAAACTTTACATATACCTCGGCTTTATAACACTAACAGTTCCTCAGTTCTGCGCAGTTTCTCATTGAAGATGATTAAAAAACATTAATCATTCTTTTGATATTAAGGCGGCTCGTATTCTTGAAATACTGTCCAATTTCTTAAAAAAAAYTTTTACGGATAATACAATCATATAATGGTCTAGTATCTATAGCTATTGACTGAGTTCTGGTCGAGGACYGATGACAATTTGTAGTTTCTAAATATCTAGAATTGAAAGGGAATAAACTCCGTGCAGCTTATATATCCACTTACYCTCACTTCGCAATGGAAGAAACACTACAAGGACGCATAAGTTCATTAACATCATCGTCATCATTATCATCTTCTATCTCTGAATAAAGAAATGAACAAACAAATTAAACAGCCGTATCACATACACACACGCACAACGCACACACAAAAAAAAATAACAACAGCAAACAACAAAAAAAACAAAGATGTGAGACTACACGGCAGGACTTGCSCAAGAGCACACTCAGGCCAATGGCTAACAACCAATACTAGGGCATAAGGTTAATCTACGGTTTGGATCTCTATTGAACTGTTATTACTCATTTACTCATAGAAGCAGAACGATAAAGCGAATCAATTTTCTCAGTCAGTATAGTATTATTTTTCAACAAATGTTACACGAGACAAGGTTAAAATCATCAAATAATGCAGGGAAAAGGCTGGGCATTACTTAAATTGATTCCTTGCTTCAAAATATATTTGATCCA